AGCTCCGGGGGGAGGGGGCTGGGGATCTGTAAAACCCCTCCCACGCTGGCAGGAGCCTTTTGTGTCTCTCCTGCCTGGGCAGGGGAGGGGCTGCGCTGCCCCTGGAGAAGGGTGGGGTGTCCTCCTTACCACGGGTGGGAGCCCGGGGGATGAGAGGGGTCCCTTCACCTCGCTGGGGGTCCAGGGATGCACGAGGCTCCCCCCAGCCCCACCCGTGGTGTGTCCTGAAGTCCTGCTGGCTCCTCTTGCAGGGGTGAGGAGTGGGCTGGGTTGGCCCCGGTCATTTTGGGGGAGGGGGAAGCTGGTGGTAGCTCCTCCCCAGGCAGGGGGGAGCCTCCTCACCCTCCCCTCTGCTGCTGCCTCGGGGCTCTGCTGGGAGATAAATAATGAAGGGGAAGTTGAACACTCGGTGAAACTTGAGCAGATGCTGCAGTGAGGGGGTGGGGTGAGGGACCCCTGGGACCCCCATTTGTGTGGTGCATCCCCCCCCTTGGGCTGCACTGTGAGCTCAGAAATGCCTCTGTTAGGCCCAGAGCAGCACCTGGGCCGAGCTCTTCTTGAGCCTCTCAGCAACACTGTCCATTCCCAGGAACTCACACTGTCTAACAAGCTCCTGGATTTTAAGGAACAGCCTTGGGAACTGATATTTCCTAGCGGGGAGCGACCCAAGTGCAACAACAGTTTTTGTTACCAGACTTTCAGAGGAAGTTCCTGACCCCGGGTCAGGGCCAGGATGGAAAATTACAATGACTAAAGTCAACTCTGGCAATGTTGTAACCGGTGGGTCCTGACTGAGACCCTCCGGGTTCACCTGGGCCCCAGCAGGATCTGACCAGCACCTCCCTCAGAGCTGGAGAACTGAACTCGGGGTGGATTTTTCACAGCTATTTACACCTGCCCAGGTGGGTGTGTGCACGTGAGGGTGAATATTCCACAGCGAATGTCCCAGGAACGTTGCTCTCACATTGTTAAATACGTCAGGCTTGTAAGTAAAATAGACCCCTGAGTGAGTTACTATTGTGCTTGTGATAAATTCTCTGTGAATCTTTTGTTAAATTATTTAAATTGAGCTGTGGGTTAAGTTTAAGTGCTG